TGAAAGCCTAAGTGGTGAGCGTTTGAGCAATAAAAAAGCAAAGAGTAAGTCAGTTTACGAGCCAGAAACCGGCATATCTGAACACAGGTTACCACCGTTTCAGCAGCGTAAAGCGTCTAAGGGTGTCTCTTATCCCTGGACGGGATGCCGGTCTACCACAGGTTACTCACTACTACGTTGTCAGACCCCTTTACAGTTCGCCGTAACCCATTAAAACTCCCAGGTGAAGAAACACTTCTGAATACAACTTAAAAACTCTTGTCTTGATGATGACATCAGCTGATATTTACTCCCAAGGTGCCTATTGTTTGAAACCTTACCCCTGGCACAAAACATCTCCCCAAGTTTCTGAATTACACCTTTAAAACTTAAAGACCATTTCGCAAGTGAAAACATCTTTACACCTTACATAAAATGTCTCCATTTCTTGAAGTCACTTCATTTCGTTAAATACTAATTAGTCTCTATGGGGCTGTACAGTCTGCAAATAAATTATTTAAATCAATCCCAAGATCTGTTTACCACTTCTCTATTTAACCTGCATGCCATAAATTCCTCCTATGGATTCCATTGGATAATTTAGTGTTTGTCAAAACAAAACCTGCAGCTTATAACTTTGTCTGTTTCATCAGTTTTTTTTTTATTGAAACTATATCAGTTAGACTGTGTCAATGGTATTTGGGCTAATTTCACCCACCTTATACAAACGCAATGTTATCCTTGCGTAGTTTTCTCGTCGTCATAAGTGCTCAGTTAGTTGTGATCTTGTCCCACCCATACTGTAAAATGCCTAAAAACAGATCACAGTAAGAAATTTGTGTATCAACAAATAATGATGCGTAAGTTAATATTTTGAAAACACCACCTATGGTATTTGATGAAATCTATTCTATGAGTTTTGATAACCAAAGCTCTTCTAAGCAAAAACTTCCACCTTGGAATCTTACACACACATGTACAAACGTCAGTTCACTGGCCAGTATTCAGTAATACTCAGAAAGTTCCTCTCTTGCACTCATATTATCATTATATTCACAAACATTCTTCGTTGAACTTTCAAGAACTAAGAAAGGTAAATCTGCTCTTAAACGTACAGAGATCTCACAATTTTTCATAAAAATTGACCTGTACTTGTGTAAACTACGGTCCTCAAAGCTTGATTAAGCAGAGAAAGAAGTGATTTTGTTCTTTATCTCTCGCATCAGAAAGTTACCACGAATGATTTATTGCCATTTTATTCAAATTCATTAAACATGCGATATCCATGTGAATTCAATTTCATAAATAATGGACTCAACGTCCCAAGAAAAATACCGTTTTCACATTTATTTGAAAGTAAAACTCAAACGTATCACAGAGTAATAATGAAAACAGTCATTAAATACCTGTCGATAAGGGGCCGTAACGAGTCAACTATTCCACTTCTTCGACGTTGAAAATCCACGTGTTCGTGGTCATGAAAGCGACGTGAAGTCCGACCAGGCAAAACGAAGGTATGTCTAATCCATTAGTGTACCACCAAACATCTATCATAAACGCATGGGTGATTTACAACGTCTCCGTAGTTTATTTGGAGAGTTTTTGGTTAATAATCGACCAGGAAATGACATTCGGCCATGTTGCACTTGGAACGTAAATTTCAAACCCTCCAAAGCTGACGAAAAAATTGTGAATAATTTAATTCTAATGTAATATCTGCAATTCAAATGAAGAAAACGAGAAAAGAAGGCGTTGGTCATATTTCTTACTCATGGGTGAGAAAATTCCTTTTTCCATTTTAAAATGAAAAGTGTGGGACAGTTTATAAGACACCATTTTTTGATAAGTGAAAGAGAACATCTGCATCATTCCTATGAATAAAAGCGCCGATATTCAACCTTAATCTCAGGCCCCAAACCATATGATCCCCTCTAGATCCTACGACCAGGACCACCCCCCCCCTCCCCCCGAACTGCATCTGAAAACCGTATGATCCCCCAATCGATAAATAGTTACTGGTTCCTGCCTCCTATTTTGTAAACAAAATCGTTCATCATGACTCGCCGACAAAAGAAAGTTTAAATTAAAACTCTGATTAACGTTTCTTTGCCGTTGCAACGAGTTAGATTCACTTAGATCTTCTCTTCTCCTGTTGTTCGTTCAAAGTCAATCGTATCCATCCCATCTTCAAGGCCAATTCTACATTCCAACTCATGAACTGTTCAGGATAATCTTCAGTCCTACGGTTTTCACGTTCAAGGTGTTCTCGTTATTCACAATTAATTCTTCTCCAATCGCATTAACTGGAATATCGAAGCACACCGATTGGCATATATATTCTTTATTTCTTTGAAACAACTCCGGGCCTCGTGCGGAAAAAGTTTGGTGCAACCAAAAGACAAACACAATGAATCGAAAAGGGGTTGTCACTATTTCTGAAAATAATTTCAAGGGTTACAAAACATCACCTTCCTCAAGGATATACATAACGTAATAGAACTTTTCGAAATTGGCTCGAAGAGCCGTTCCATAAACATCCTGACGTAATTGTAATGCGATCTTCTACGTCAGTCTATCGATCCCCTCCACCCATGCAAAGAGTCGTAAGGGAAGACAAGAAACTCGTTGCGTGAATGTCAGTTACAAATGAACGTTACTTTTTTCGAAATGACGTTATATATACACATTCCATGGTGTCAGGGGGTATCTGAGATCTCTCTATTTTTGGAAATCTATTTTTCAAGAGGTGTTTAAGCCCATTTCATTTTACCCATCAAACTATCAAACCAGGTGAAAAACTCATCCATGCAAAGTCCCTGAGGTCTTCTCAGATGATTTGAAATTGTGACAACCCCCTTTTGATTCATTGTGTTCGTCTTGTGGTTGCACCAAATCAAATCAAGCTAAGGGTTGATTGTTTTTTATGAAGAAAAAAAAATTATGGAAGGTTTACATTTTGCAAATTCTAAGCTTGTAATGTTTCAAGGTTAAGATTATATGTTTGAAGCAGAGCCAGGTAATATGTTTGCTCATCTCGGCGATTTACTTCAATGCTTGCTCCAAAGATATACAGTATGGGAAATTTTGCGCCTTTTCTCGGTAAAACCATCGTATCCGAATTCATGGTGTATATCAATACTTCATTAAAAAGAAAGAAAGTAAAAATGGTATTTCTTTTAGTCTGTTACAACTTTTAGCTCGTCTCATTTTTTATATATTGTTTGTAGTTACTAAAATTATACTCACCTTACGATTGGAGTGTTCAATACTGAGGATAATAGTCATGAGTTTTCAGACAAGGTTCAGCTCCCAACATTGGATACTCATCACATAACCATGTATCACACACACTGGAAGTTCTTGACACCATCCTCTTGTACTACAGTACACGTACAGTGGCCATGAAATCAGGCAAGTCAGCAACTTAAGCTATCATTCATTAATTAAGCTGCTCCAACTGAACTCTTGAAGGAAAGACTTGGTGCTATTCCTTGTTACATGTGAGACATACAAGCCAGCAGTTCCAGGTTTCTTTTTTTCCAGTGAATGCCCTTAATTGGAGTCAGTCGCCGGGAAAGTAGAAATCAACACGTCCCCGGACACTCAAAGTGCTTCTGACCCCCGGATACTCAAAGTGCAGTGCGGACTGAGCGCAACACGTCTTCACGAAAAAGGTGCTATCCTACTAATGCTCAAATCGGGCTGGTTATAATCAATCACGATCGAGAATCCTGGTGTAGTTTTCATGAGTGCTCGCTATTTCTTTTAAATTGTTCTCACCGTAAGGATTCGATTTAGCGCCCGGGGTGCTTATTTACTTTTATTACCTTTAGGGAGGGCGCCTATTCGAAACAGCGCGCTTATTTATATTTTAAGAAACATCAGAATGAGCAAAACAAAGTTTGTATATTTATTTGAAAAGGATCGAGAAAACTGGAGAACGGGCTTGTTGTCCCTGGATCCTTCCTGGCTAAAAACGACCAGCCAAGCAATCGCTGAAAAAATTTGAGACGTGGGATTTAGAGGGATCTGTGCACTCACCTAGACATAATAGTTGAGAGACTGAGAGGAACGCCACTGTTTTTGTAATGAGGCTTTAAGTAAGCAATCAGAGGAGGATGAGCCAAGGTTGATCTTAATGCACATGAACTGTAACAGTGCCATCACTGAAACAGAATTGGGGGCGATTAGCGCTTATTAGAATAGGGGATTTTTTAGTATTGGGGCGCTTATTGGAATGAGGGTGCTTACTCAATAGTGGCGCTTTTAAGAATAACGGTGTTTATCAACAAAAACCAATTTGAGGGGGGCGCTTTTTATTTGGTGGGCGCTTATTGGAACATGGACACTAAATCGAATCATTACAGTAATTCATTGTTGAATGTTAGCGATGTATCGCTGGTCACCTGCTAGTTATTAGAGAGTTCCACGTCCCTGAGCTGTAGTTTTGTAGCTTCAGTTCTGCGTTTTTCCCGCTTCGAAAACATCGGTTTCACCCTACTTTGATTTCACTCATTTTTTTTTGTCACATTTTACAGCCATAAAGCTCCAGTTTCTGCATCCAGACCGAATGGCGAAGGTAAAATCACAATATACGGAGAGGGATAAGTTCAAACTAATATGTGACGCCATAGGAACGCCAGGTCCGACTGTCACATGGCACAAGGGTAAAGATATATATCTCGGTCATAGATCTGACGAGACGATAACACCAGGGCGTTATGACTATGAAATATATTTCAACGGGGTGGATATCAAAGACAAAGGAAATTACACATGCGTTGTGAAAAACTCATATGGTACTTTGTCTCATTCATACGTCTTTGATGTGAGGGGTAAGTGACATGGAATGGCGATGATTTCCATTACAAAATCACATGTTTATTTAAAGGACATTGTCCGATAGCAATGGTTCGTGGCTGAAATGTAAGTTACTTCAAAATTTTACAAACCTTTCTGTGGCTGATTCGGGTTCATATTCATGTCAGGCTGTAAATGTCGTTGGCACATGTCGTTGTAATGTGAGTACCAGGCCCGTTACAATATTCCTTCAGGTAGGATATGATTGAGTAAGCATGCTGAGGCAAAGGGATTAACTTACATTAAAATCCAACCCAAAGACTCTCTGCCAAAAGGGTTAGGAAGTGACCAGGATTAAATTGAGTCAAATTACAAATATTCAATTGGAGAAACGGTGGCCTGACGGTTCACGCTCTGGTCGGTTTTGTTACAGGAGAACGACGTCACTAGTATCATTTCATGGAAGCGAGACCACTTGATAAAGGAGTTATGGGAAATTCAAATTTAAAAAAAACCGAATTAATTGTATTCGGAAAACAGGATACCCACACCTTTCTAAACGGAACTTTGGAACTATTTCTACAGTTTCAGTTTGCTAGTGAGAACAATGCACGACACTTCTTGTAAATTGCGTTCAATACTTGATCATGTGGGGTGGAAGGGAAATTCTCTTTAAAAAAAAAAACTGGTCATTATTTCATTTAGAACCATGGATTTGATATCTATGCATATTACCACTGCTGGTCTTGATTGAATTTTTTCCCAAAATTTTCAGCTCCCTACGGTTGCAACCTCAACAGATCAATGTGCAGTTTTACCCAGGACAGCACCCAGGGCGGGATTGATGAACTAAATTGGACGCGTGAGCCTGGAACTCTTTCCTCTGACGAAGAACACCTTGTTAATCACACTGGAAATGTGACAGCAGCAGCGATCAAAAGTAGCATTTACTTCCTGTTGATACTTAGATATATTTTGTGAAAAGATATTTCTGCAAAGAAAAGTTTTCTTTTCAATTACGCGTCGGCGAGACATCACTGTGAAATTATTTTGAGATGTCAATCATCTTCTGTCTTGTCTTCGGATCTACTGGGCATCTAATTCGCTGATTGAAAGGGTAAAATGCCCTCTCTTCAAAATTTTTATCCTGCTCCCATTCACATTAAGGATCTTTCTGCTTGGAAAAGTTTTATTTGTTTATCATGCGTCCACGAAAGGCCTTCGTGAAATAATAATTGTCTTCTGTAGTGTCGAGGTAAGCACTGAAAAATTATTTCTTCGGTTCTGTTGAAAACAGCTGGCTAATGTACGATAAAATTCTCTTTTTTCAAAGGAAGTGTTTTTGTTAAGGTTTCTTAGAAAAACTGATCACATTCTCTTGTTCTAAAAGGAAAAGTTTTCTATTAACCCTTTACCTCCCATGAGTGACCAACAGAGAATTTCTCCTTAAAATATCAACACAATATCAGGCATAGAAGTGATGAGAATAAAGTAAAATATCAGTTAGGGGATCATTAGTTGATCCAGTTCCAAATTCTCCTAATTGGTCTCATAATTATTGTATGTCAGATAGTAAAGAGAATTACCAATGAGATCTTCGGAGTTAAAGGGTTAAGCGGGCGAGGGGCCATGATGAACGAGTGATTTTGGAAAAAACGTCATGGCAACCACATCTTGGGTGTTGTCAGTACAAAATAATTTTTTTCGAACGCACTCTTCTTTATTTAGTGTATGCTGCGCCCAATAATGATCAATAATCTTTAGTGCGAATATTGAATTACGAAGATGCTCTGAAACAAACAATAAGTGACGGGTGGGTCAAAATCGGGTGAAGTTCGGCATTTCATTCCACTCACTCACTCACTCACTCATCCCGTAACGTGGGCGCATAATGCGAGCGATTAGGAGCGAAGAATCTGAAGTGCGCCCATCTCCTGCCACTTGTACCATAAAAACACTAATTTATATCATCAAAATAAAGCACTCAGATTTATCTCTAATTTCTTCGTCAAGTTTCTCTTGTCTTGTTTTGCTCTTGATGTCTTTAACGATTAGATATGATAATCTTGTAACGTATTGTCGTTCATCAGATCAGAAGACTCGTGATGTTCTTGTCCACGGAATCGTTGCAGCATGCCTACTAATTACTGTGGCTGTTTTCATCGTTATCTGCTGGCGCCGTGAATCCCGAATCAAGAGATCCTTACAACTTTCAGTTTTATTGTCAAGTAAGTCTGACTTGAAACGTAGAGGTCGGTAGCTTTTTTCAAAGGTTTAATGATCTTTATTTTAACATCTTATTTTGCATAGGCTTTGGACTGAAAGCCGGAAGCTTGCGTATTTGAGGAAAAAACCGAATTAACTAGAGAACATCCCTCCTTGTTATTATATGCGAGCCAGTTCGCCCTTTTGTTAATATTGTTTTTCCATGGGTTCGATTCAAACTATTACTTTAAAAGTTAATGATTTGTAAATATAATAACCTCTTAGCTAATATCATATTATATTTTATTCTTTCAGAGCCTAAATTTGAATACGATGCGTTCGTTATTTACAGCTCCTACGACTCGGACTGGGTGATTAAAACTCTAATTCCAATTCTTGAGAGAAAGCATAGTTTTAAATGCTGTGTACAATACAGAGATTTCGTTGTTGGAGTACCTTTTCGTGAAAATATGGTCAACAGTGTTTACAAGTCTAGAAAACTATAGCAGTCGTGTCTAAAAACTTTTTCAATAGCAATTATTATGGTTCTGAGATGGATTACGCCCTCCATCGACTTATGGAAAGGAAAGATGATAGTGTAGTCGTCATCAAACCTGATGACGTTGACAGAGGAAAACTCCCCAAGGAGTTGCGAAAAAGGAGTTATATTGACTATCCAAAGACTGTTGAAAAGGATCACTGGGAAAGAAAACTAGTTCATTGTTTAAAGATCCCAAACAATCAGCTACAGGAACAGATTTTGTAAGAAGCTCTCTTTTGTCCATGCGGTCACTAACTCGAACTTTGGTGGTATATGAGAGTGACAGTTCAATTTCCTTCCAATTCCTTGTGCTTTCAAGTGAGACATCACCTACTTAAATACGTTCAGGCTTCCCAGAATTATGTAATTTTGGTATGGATTGTGTTAAAATTTTTAAATTTTGAGTTTTATAAACCAGTCTTGTAGGAAACTTGAAGAAAATAGTATTGAAATAAGTGAGGATGACTGTAACTAATGTATACAGGGGTTGGGATGGAAATGGGTCTTTTTCATCGTGGATCTACCGTATGTTAAGTGAATTAGAACTTGTTAAATCACAAGATCTAATGAGACCCATTATACGAAGTCCTCATAGAAAGAATGTCATTAAATTCTCTATTTTCACGAGGGCCAATGCTTTTTATGAGCAAACGTGCACGAGGATCCGGTTATTGGCAAGTTATTCACTTTGCTTCACTTTTTTTCGTCAGCAAAAGACTGAGTAAATCGAAAATCATTTATCATTCATATTGAAAAACTGAAAAACAGAAAAACTTAATATTACTTGTAATTCATAGAAATATGTCTTTCTAACAAATGTCAACCGTTAAGATCCCTGAAATTGAACCATCACCGTTAAAAGCCGTAAAAATTAACCGTCAATGGTCAAACTAAAAAATGAGACCTATCCTCCCTCGCCCCCTGTTAAGCCCCCCCTCCCCCCCATTAAGGCCGTCTTTGTTACCTCTTAGTATAATCACAGTTACTTAACATGAAAATATTGGTCAATGCTTTCGGTTCATCAAAAAAAATTGCATGGTTTCACACCCCTTCTTGAACAAAACCGATTACTCGGAACTGCCCCTGTCATTCTTGCAAATGCTCTGCAAATTTTCAAACCGTGGTATCATCATTACTCTGGGATAGGAAGTGTTTAATTACAAAGTGTACTTGACTTAAAAAGCCTGTAGAAGTGTAAGTTATCGTGAGTTTTCCAACCAAAGAGATGCATGCAGTTTTCAGCATTGTTCAGTGTTCTTTCTACTTACAAAAGGTCAAGGGCAAAGGAAATACATACATTTGAGCTTCCCATATGGCGTATTTTAATGAGCCCTTATCATATAAATATTCCTCTCCAATTTTCTAGAAGCCTGAGAAATTAAGAAGCCCAACCCCCAACCCCGTCCCCCACTCCCCAATTAAAGCGTTTTCATTGGGCAAGCTGTAATCTTACTCCAATCTAGTAAGTAGGAGTCTACCGGGTTAAGATATATTTGCTTTTCTGCCTTTCTTTACCATATGGTGGACTGGAAATATTAGAAAGTCATCGGAAATGCAAGCCTAAATCGTGTGCGTGATAGAATTTGACATTTGTGTTTGTAAACAACAAACTTGACCGGAATTGATCAGGTCACGAAATGATAAATATCCCTTTTAAACTTTCCAGATATCGATGTCCTAAAATTTGCCAGCATTACTCTACTCTGCTATTAAAGATATACTCAACAAGAATCATCCTCTGCATTCTTTGAAGAAACTGGTAAATTAACATCAATTTTGTTTACTTTTAACTACGCACGTCAACATTTGATAAGTATTGTGAGATGTTAGCGCCCAAGGAATTCATGTCACAATTAGCAAACTCTGCGCAATGATTGAACGGCAAATAGCTTCAAAGTGCGTTTCGTTTTAACAATATATACCTCTTCCTTCGCACACCTCCTCCATCACTCAAATCTTCGCAAGTAAGTCATTGTTCATCCTTTATAATACAAGAATAATTTTTTTTAAATTCTGTGGATAAAAGAAAAGTGAACTTGGTGCAAATTAGCATCCCAGGCGTAAAATCTCGAAATCACGTTAGGTCAGGGACCTTGGTATCTTAACTTATATTTTCAGGATCTTTTTTTTTTCGGTGGGTAGCGGTCGTTACGTTCTAGAAAACGGCAACTGAAAAATAAAGTCCCTAGTCCTTTGTTGTTTATACCAGATCTCCATTTAAAATTTAACTGTCCTTTTGGTCCAGAGTTTATACGTGGCAGCGAATCTTGTTTAGGGGACCACATTGATACAAGTACCTATCAAATAATTCCTTATAAAAAATAAATCAAATACACAACCAAAATCATTTTGTGCGACCTGTAGAATCAATCCAAAGCCACTGAGCAGATTTTTTGGGTAGCCTTATCATTTTGAGGTTGTCTACGATTGACAATTAACACTGCTAAAACTTTCGCTGTCTTTCTATGCTCCTTTTGAACTTGAAAATAAAAAATCCAGAATATTTGCATTTGGTCTCTTTTTGTACATGATGGGGTTTCATCGTGAGCAAAACCGCAGGATTTTATTGCCACACCTTGCTATCTTTCAATAGCTAAAGGCCCTAGCTTAGCCAAAGGGGCATTTTTGTTAAAAAATAAAAATAAAAAAAACCGCATCGAGTTTCCATGAGTTTCTGTTCATAAAAGGAAAAATGTCTAACAGAGGTTATATAATAAGCTCAGTTATGCACGTGTTTTGATTGGTTCTCACTTATGATCTATTGGAGGACAGACGTATAGATGACATCATCATTAAAACTTTTTTTAAAATTCTTTATTATATAAAACAAATAGATTCCAAGTTGCCGTGCGTCTGTTCAGTAATAGATCAAAGAGGACGTCAAAATGTGGTAAGAACATCATCTTACCACATTTTGACGTCATCTGTGATCCATTACTGAACAGACGCACGGCAACTTGGAATCTAGTTGTTAAATTGACAACTGATAAAGTGCGCTTTCAAATTGTATGTTGAGGAATATAAACCGGTCAATGCTTATCAATATGAGACTTTATATATATAGTAGAGTAACTTGCAGTTTTCGATTGCTAATTTAAAAGCTAAGTTTAATTATAGGCTGAGGTCGATTCTCCAAAATTCAAAAGTAGTTGTTATCAAAGAGTTTGTTTTTTAAAAGAAATTCCTGCGTTCGAATGACAGATATGTTTAAGACCGATTTTACCAAATTTAAGGCATTACTTTTTATGACACAACAACTAGACACTGAGTATAGCCTCGAGGGAGGATGAGGAAATACTAAGCTTCTGCTTTTTGTTTTGGTCAGTTTGATGTTGTCAAACTTTTTCATTTGAGGGCGGACTCGTCGTGATGGCGAAAGGGGTATTTTCAATGCTGTTGACCTCCAATTTCCCAATAAATCTAAAACCTCTTTAACCCTGACGAGACACAAGGCATTCAATTCACTCTGTTACAGTTTACATTGATCAGATTGATGCTGCGTGAAGTATTAAAATACATAATTTCTTACTCATTAAGATTCTATCTAACAAAGCCCTTTCACACCTCTACAGTGTGTCTTGTTTTGTCATATGATGCCATGCTTTACCTTGTCACACGGAGTTCACAATCACTATGAACCGGACCGAAATGACTACAAATATTTTGCAATGCTTTATTGCGTATGATTTATATTTTCCAAACTAGTAATCAGCTGAACTTAGTACTTGTTCGAACTGCGTCATCTGTAAGAGAGGATCTGTGATCAATTCTTGGTCATGTGCGATACACGTATTGCTACAAACTGCACAATTTGATTGTAGAAGGGATTAAATTGAAATGAAGAAACCACGACTGATCTGACCCTGTACATCCTAGCATTGGTATGCATATTATCCCTACTGTTTCCCATACATTTCTTGAGATGGTGATAAGGAGAATTTGTTCGACTATCAAGAGTTTAAAGTTGGTAATTACGTCTGTTATCAGTCTCGTGGCCTTAATGTTTTAATCAGTGCTGATAGAGAAATTGGAGAATAATTTTATCTTTGGAGAGTGTCTCCCTGTTGATGTAGGTTGGGTAATACCGCATATAGCGGGATCTTAAACGGTTAGTAATTCAAATAAGGGCGTAGTTTGTAATTTGGAAATGTGCCCTCTTTGTTGAAAGGAAAGGCCCGTGGAAAATCTTGAGTAGGGACCATTAAGCGTTTGGAGAAGAAAAAGTAAACATTAATGAACTAACTTTCAGCATAAATTTGCGAGACATAAGGGAAGCTGTGAGTGTGTGTGCCTGTATAGCCTTTCTTGTTTTAGGGTGTCGCTGGGAGATTGTGCAAAAATCGTGGGCTCCCCGCCGAAATACAAAAGCCCGAATGTAAGTTGTAAATGTGTACGTGATGGTGTTTCAGAACTGGACCCTCTGGGAACCGAAAAGATTGACGTAAGGCTGACACATTTAGGATACGTATCGACAGGAAGCACGCGATGTAAAATTACTTTGACGTAAGGTATTTCAACAAACTGCACCTTAATGTGAGGTTTCTTGAGTGCAGACTTCGAAGCGTTGTCGATTATCTAAACTTTTCTTTAACTACGTAATTGCGTTTCGGAGGGATCACCTTAGAGCTAAAGCAACTGGAAGAATCAGACGTAAGTACGGAAATGAGTTTGCTTCATTTCATTTTTCACCGCGGGTTATAGTCAATTTTAAAGTGATCTCAATAAAGCTTGTACCGTTAACTTAGCTTCCTTCATTTAAGATTTAAAAAACCTAGCGTAAACTTGTAAATCTCTTTAAGAAATACAACTTTACACAATAAAACCCTTTTCATGAGCCAAACTACTAATGGTGATGAGGACATGAATTTTTCTCAACATTTTGATCGATTCTCTAATGTGTTGCGAAATGGCGACCTTTGTTGGCAATGTAACAGCGAAATGACTCCATGTTAGATTTAACAGAAATTTTAAGATCTGAAATTGTTAAGAGTTAGGATAAAGTCTACAATTAATGCTGAAGACATTTGACAACAATAATTTTCAGTTCTTTTGATCTGCCCTGAAGGGGGGCCAAGTTGGAAGCATCGTAACTGATCAGCCTAACGGAAATTTTATGAACTTCTTTCCTTTCACCTTCGATTCGAAGAAGTGTGACCTTTTAAATTATTCAAAAGTGGAGCGCCAACAGGAGTTTACACTAACCTGATATGTCATAATACCTGGTTCATAAGATTGGTTTGCCGTTTCTATAGCCGTGCCTGGATGTATCTTCGCAGATTTTACTCCAAGATTCTCATTCTAGATTTCCTCGTAGTGTTAATTAGCAATTTGCTTGACTGGCATTACCTTGAAAAAGAACATAGTGTTGGAGACATCGTGCAGTGAAATTCTTACGCTAATCGTCTAATTTGATTGAGTCCTGTTGGCCCGCGCAAACGGAACAACCGAACCGCTTGTCTCTTACTTCGCTTCAGAATAGTTATTCGCCAAGTGTAATTTACAAGCGTTTGTCATTACATCCGGTCCATTGACGTGATTTCCAGTTTTAATGATCTGAACTTTATCCTTTGATATTTTTACTACTAGAGTTTCGCTGTCGTTGTAATTAAAATTTCGGGAGATGGCTGTCATGGACTTTGAAATTAACATAACACTTTTTTTCCGAGTTGCGTTTGCTTGACAAAAGATTGCTTTAAATAGCGGTTGTGCCACAGTCTTCCAATCGAGGTATGTTGCTCCTGTGTTTTGTATTTGGGCGTTTGGATAACTTTTCGTTCGCTTCCTTTGACTGATAACCTAATATTTCGCATATTTTCAACACTAGAGCACATCATAGATCTGATTACATTTCTGTGGTCTCATTCGCAAGAACATAAAGAAACCTTTGATGCAGGCTTCTCGGTAGTTGTTTCAGGGAAATCATTGCGAAAGAGCGTGCGTTGCTCTCGTAGTTTTCTGATCGCTTGTAGCTGAAGCATTCAGAGGTAACTTGAATTTTTCAAGACCTCTAGAAATAAATTAATCGCATTGATCTGGTAATTATACATTTTGACCTGACATTCGAATGCAACAAAAGGAAAATAATGTTCTGCTCGTTGACAGGTATTTGTTGAGATAGGGGCTAAAACGTTCCTGCAAATTTCTAGATCAGTTTTTTCATCGGCAGGTTTTGATGAACAAAAATGCTGAGATGAAATTAAGTTTGGAGCCAATTTGATGCAATTCATGTCGTATATTATTTTTATGTAGCTCAGAGAATTGCAAGGAGAAAGTAATCATTGATCACACTTACTGGTATAGGGGTGAAGCAAAACTTTCAGTACCCATAAGCTAACATTATTTGATGCTATCATTTTCCTTCAAGAGTGCTTTAAATCCTACTTCACTAACAACATAACTTGACATGAATAGGCATGTTACTAAAAATAATTCTTTAAAGCTTGACTTAGCAAATTCCATGTCTTAAAATGTTAACTTGCTAATTTATGCCAATACTTATTATAAACACTGATATCCTCTTTTTACTATTTTTAAGTGTTAATCATCATTTTCCACTTGTCATATGGTGTATTGCTAGTAAAGACACTGCAAACTGTCTGTGATCAATTCTATGAAACTTGAATAAGGCAGCAAACATGATGAATTTTTAAGTTTTAAGTTCAAAAGAGCAGGGATGCACATTTAAAATTTAAAGGTACAAGGAACTCGCAAAGATAAACTAAAATGCGATGACTACCAGACACCTGGAAGTTGGTGCTAGACATCCTTGATATTGGTAACAATAGAAAGCCACTGTAAATTATAGAGTCTATTTAGTAACTGCAATCAGTGGTTTATAAAGTGAAAATAAAGAAAAAAAGAATAAACTTTTAGTGGATTTAGAATGACAAATCTCTCGTGTAACAGGGTCAGTTGACAGTGGCTTATGGCAGGTGTTGGATAGTGGTGAGCCAGCACATTTTTCTTGATTACCACAAGAAACAGAGGAAGAAGGTGTATTCCAGCATTTGTGCAGAAAAATCCATCTGGAAAACTCTTTTGGACTCCTCAGACACTTCTCTCTTTAATTTTCTGATTGCTAAAGGATGTTTTTTAGGCACTATATATATGTGGTCTCAGGTTCCCAGCATAACCTTTACCCTGGATACAACTTTATGGAGCTCTTATAAGGATTCAGAGTTGTAACAGTTGTTCCCTGCCCTAAACTGACCCAAAATGCACAGACTACAGAAGGCTGACAGACTAGCCAAAGTTTTCATATGAGAAAAATTTGTTCTGCCTGATAGGGTCACCCTACTGCCAACTGGGGTAGGAGAACATGCCCTCCTAAGTTATCTTGTCCTCTAAAATGAGTTTGCCATTTACAAGTAAGTTGGTTGAATTTTTCAAAGAAATAAATGAAAAGTTAGCTGGCCAGGGTAACTCAAGGTAGGATTGTCTTGGGAACCAGAGACCATGTAGGTGGGCCTTTATGTCTGGTGTGGTGTAGTTGTAACACAGTTTTCAGAAACTTTAATAAACTTACATTACTAACTCTTGCTTGAAAAGTTCAGTTTAACTTTGTATAATAAGTTGATTCAAAACAAGGGTATAACCTTAAAAAGAAAATAATGGGGGGTTTCACTAGGCCATAAAAAGAGTTTTAAATTAACCTTTTTTTCCAAAAAAATGAGATAAAAATTTCTACTTGAATTAATAAGAATGGGTGATTTCTTTTTGTGGGGGAGGGCAGGTTTGATGGGTAACTGACTTTGAAATCTAAGTGAAAGCAACTGTTATATTTGTGTTGGTAAATAATTGTGGCCATATGTGACTATCTATCATCTCTCCATGCTGATTGTGTTTTTGATTCACCAATGCAAGACTTTGCATCAGTCTTACATTTCCCAATTTCAACTGATCTTGAGGGAGTTCCACAAGACCCAGGACAGCAATTCAGTATTCAGTATCAGTATTCCTTGACCTCTGTGAATTTGCACAACTATCTGAACCCTGTTTCAGAGGGAGATGAATGAGAAGGAGCCAAGTCTTTGGAAGCAATTTCTAATATGGAAATGAAGCAGGGTGAAGTTCAGGGTATTCATTTTTATCCAGAATCCAGAACAGACTCTGCACATCTGTTAAGTGGGAAAGTCATGTCACTATACCCTGTGCACAGAGGGTAACTTCATGTTCCTGCTGTCTTTGGGTGAAGAGTATACCAAGTGTCTAATGAAATAGTATTTTGAGATAGTTCAAGGGGAATTGTTACAGAAAGATCCAATGAAGTCGCTAACAATTTTCTTTTTTCAGGCTGTAATATAGAAACTACCAGTAGTTGTTATTGATACTTTTTAATTGTCATTGTAAAACAAGAAAGATTTTAATAAAAAGTTATTTTATTTGGTTCTCATCCTCAGGGTTCATTTATAGACTGTAAGCAGCTTAATAAATTTCTCGATTAAGGTAAAATGAGGCAGAAAAAGTGGGAAGTGATTTGTCCATTGTTCTTGGTTGTTTGTGTGACATTTACTCTTCTACAAATGAAGTGCTTCTCCGGTCCATCATCTACATGTTCAAAGAAGATAAAGCGTCACTTCCGCCTTCCTCCCATTGAAAGGTTTCACATGTCCTCTGTAGAAATACTTGGGTGGGATTACCAGCCAGAAGATGAAGTTGAAGCAAGACTGGCCAGGAATGTTGTGAAGTATGTCTTGATGGTTCCCCACAAATTACAACCATGGTTGAAATCTCTTGGTGTGGCTGGCCTGTCCTTGCAAGACAAACAAGAATTACAGAAGCTATTACAGTTCCTTGATGCAAGTCCAAACTTTGATGGGGCAATGGGGGTATTGACCCAGGTAAGAGTGAAAGGATTCAACAGTGCCAAGACTCTTCTTGAAGAAAGTAGCTGCACATTTCTGGTTAAAAACTGGACAATGAGTATTCGCAATTTTGGACCAATTCACCCCCATGAACCCAGTCACCGTGAAGATGACAGCAGCAAAGCTACTAATTGGTTTCAAGAGTGCAATATTGCCGAAACAGCATTTGTTCTTCGCAAAAGTACCTTTCAGTCCCTGAGGTGGCGTGCTGAATGTGGTAGCATGAGTCATCTTGACTTCTTTAAAAGGTCAGAAGGACTCCTGAAAATAGGTAAACTATCAAACTGCTTTTTCTCGCCTGCCATAACATACTTTGATCACCAAATCCTTCAGAGTACTGGGTATTATCTCGATTATTCCACACTTGGCCAAATACACAGCATCTTACGCATAGTACGTCCAGATAAAATCGAATGGACCAAGTGCACAGATGACAAGCAGTTCTGCCCTGAGAAACCTTTGACCTCTCGCCCAAACACTCTTGCTGCAGCTGATGGCTATCCAATCTGTTGTGATGTGCTCATGGATGAGATCTTGTCCACCCTCGTGGATGCCATGAATCAAGTTGGAATTGAGTATCGTGTCGTTTATGGGACACTCCTTGGTGCTGTGAGAAGCCAGTCAATGGTTCCCTATTCAGATGATGTAGACCTTGCAATCCACAAAGCTGACAATGACCAGTATGAAAAGTTCCAGTTGGTGCAAAGGATTTTGGGTTCCAGGTACTTTGTGGCATGGAAAGCGAACCCCCCAGTCACCAGGGTTTTTGCACATTATGCTCCAACAGTGGCCATAAATACTCAACATTTCTTCAAAGGGGCTGATAGCTTTGAGAGTGATGCTTTATTCAGTAGCAAGATCCTCAAAGAGATGGAGAAACTTCTTCCAGTAAAGAATGTTGCAGTAGAACAGCGCTATGTTGATGTTTACCCCTCTCCTGAGGAATGGTTTGAAAATTTCACAGAAGTTACAATAAACAATCGACACTATCATACTGTAGGTAATGCAGATAAGATGCTAAAAATGTGGTATGGAGATTACATGAAAATTAGACCTGAATTACATTCGCAAAATACATTAGCAACATAGAAGAACAGTTCTAAATAATGCTCCCAGTAGTTAGAAAAGGGCAAATGCAATTTATAAGAAAAATGTGGGGTATGTTTCAGAACAGTTCTCCCAAAGACATACAGTGCTTACAGGTCTTGCTCATGAGCTTGAGTGAAATGTGCATTAATTTCTATACAAAGAAAAGTTTCATTAAAGTTGCACTAAAGGGGTCCAACTGTAGGTCACAAAAAAGATTGACAGATCAACATATTTTTGCAATCATATAACTTATGGAGCTGAAACATATATGCCTCCAAAAAAGTGATTTTTTTCCTTTCCTTATTTATGTTAATAAATTTCAAATAGTGATATGGAAATATGAGATTCATTGGAATTGTATTGGGAATTGAGGTATATTTTGTGCACAAACAGTTTGAGACTGATTGACAACGTTGAAGATTTTGCTGTCTTCTGAAAGATCATAAAAAGTTGATATTAACGTACAAAGTAAGATAGCATACAAACCTTTGTATAAAGCTCTATTCAATAAAAATATTGTTAATGCTTCTCTAAGACTGATTTCTTTCTTAGATTTATTTATTGAGATTCATCTGAGCAAATATCATAATCATAACTTTGCACAGGTTTTACTTAAAAGTAATTTTTGGGTGGGTAGACAAACACTACTGTCTTGGCTAGGCTGGGGTGTAAGATAGCATTTGTTTAGTGTCAATTTCTTTTTCTCTGAGGATGATCTTGTACATCAAGTCTCTTTTTAGTTCAACAGAATCCCAAGAGGGTAGTTTTGACAAGTAGTTTCTTTTGTGTTAATTATTTTAAAGTAGGGTTGAAATGGGATTCATGTAAAAAATGTAAGGTTCATGTAACTATGTAATAATATTCTTATGCTCAAACTGTGTTAGATTTCTTGTCTCTCTGTTTTTGTTCTAGCATGGCTTAGAAATGAGTTTTACCCTTTACACCCTATCATCATTAAGCATATTCTCCATACATTTCTTAAAGTGCAGACAAAGATGATTTGTATAACAATCAAGAGCTGCTTTAGTTGGAGATTATTTTCTTTATTCTTCTAACATTGTCTGATTCAGGGGTGATACTTGGGGAGAAATAAGATGAAAGTCATATTGGGGACAAAGAGTTAAGTCAGATCATCGTTGAGTACACATGCCTAAGCTGTACAAAAAAACCACTTTGGGAACTGGGCCTCCTTTGTTGATATCATTATCCTTTCATGATAACTTTTGACCCTATACATCATTGTGTTGGTAAGCATATCCTCTATACTGTTCTCCATGCATTTCCTAATGTGCTGACAAGGAGAATTTGTTTAACAATCAAGAGCTTCTTTAGTGGGTGATTAATTCCTTTATTATCCTGATATTAATGTTTGATACAGGGGTGACAGTTAAGGAGAAGTTAGATGCTAGTCATTCTTGGGGTCACAAGGTTAAGTCATACCATGATTGGGTACACATGCATAAGCCATACAAAAAACCACTTGGGAAGTGGGCCTTCCTGGTGGATATCGTCACTCTTGCAAAATATCCATTTACCCTCAAAATCCTAACATCATCATGCATATTCTCTATGCTGTCATTCATACAGTACTTGAGATGCTGAGATGGGGTAATTTATTTTACAATAGGGAGCTCCTTGAGTTGGTGATGGTTTCCTTTATTCTTGAGGCTCTTATGGGTAATTCAGGGGTGATATTGTAAGGATAAATTAGAAGCTGGTCATTCTTTAGGGTCATAGTCTTGGAATAGTTAAGAAGAGGGTTTGTTCAAGAGCATTGCAATTATTTCTGTAATCATGTGTTTTTTTTTCCTCTTCCTTCAAGCTCTTGTCAGTTAATGAATTAATTTTTAAAAATTTTTCAGGCTGGGGGAGAAGGGTTAAAGTTAGTACATGATAATTTGATTGTTTTCTTTTACAAGGTCATGTTCATCTATTTTTGTTAACACTTTACACACATCCTAACATCATTAAGCATATTCTCCATATCTCCATACATATCCTGAGGTGCTGACAAGGACAATTTTTAGAAAGCTGGATAAAAAGCTTAAGAAAAGTTAAACTATCCTTATTAGGGGTTAATGGGTTAGTAGCATGTCAGAGATCTGTCACAGTGATTGTCATATTGGCTTATTCATATAGGTTGTACAATACAAACCTCATTTGATATAATTTACCTCAATCATGTAATATAATAACAAAAATCTGCTACATTAATTCTCTGAACAGTTAAGATGATACTCCCCTCCAATTATCTGTTTATTAATGATCAAAACATAATACAATGGTGAAATGTTATGCATATTTCTTTTTTCACACTGTTTCATGAGTTTATAATAGATTACAGACTGAAGTACATTGAAAAGCATCAAATGCCCTGAGAAATAGAAAAGTCCCCCATTCCAGGCTCACCAGTCATCTTGAGGCACTAGAAAGATACAGAAGAACCTTAATGTATATTGTAATTAATTGATAATTCTGATCTGAATAACTCGTCACATCTGTAAATAATATAACAAGCCAGATCAACAGATCAAAAGGAAAGCAAACCCCAACCTATTCCATACTGTTTGCTTTACCACTTGCAGCATACACAGCCAGGTAACACTTAATTCAATACAGTTGTGGGGAAAAACTAACTCTCAGGCTTATTTGGCTCTTACAGAGTTACCTTAGGGAAATGCATGTATACATCTTGTATCGGTATTCATTCTTTAATGTTCAGAATATATAAGATTTTAGAAATTATTGCATTAAAGTAACTGAAATTCAAAATGTGGGTTTATTAATTTTTTTTTTTGGGGGGGAGGGGGTGTGGTTTGTCGAGTGTCTTGTTATTACCTTTTCATTCGCCAGGTGAAGAATGCAGACAAAGGCAATGGATACTGAGAGATTCTTAGCCATGTTCTTGGAAAGCTTTTCAGGTAATTTAGTATAGATTTCCTTAAATGAGCAAGGATATGTCACACATCCACTGCCTTTTCCTGTTCCATGCTGATCTACAGCAATATTTTCCTGATGTTTGGGGTTAAATAAAAAACAATGACATTTCATTAGTGACACTAAAATAAAGCATACTTCATATTTGTGATGTAACATCAAAATGACATTGTGAAATAAACATGTTGTAAGGAAAACTAAATCTTTTACTTTATGATAACTGCTTTGTCAACAGTCAGGAAGAGTATTAAGCCAACCAACCTTGTCACTTTCACCCTTGTCAGCTAAAAGTCCCCACATGGCACCCTTTAATTTCTTCACATCCATCTTTTTAGCAGTTTTGGCATAGCCAATGTCAATTTTCTGAACCTGCAGTAAAGAAAATCAAAGTAAATTTATTAACAGGAAGAGAATAATTTTTATGAGCAGGATTACATGTAGAGTCCTACAAATTTCTTTAATCATGACACTCATTTTCACAGATCAGGGGGAAAATTAATTTCGAGAACCTCAGCTTCACTGTTGTCCCTTTCAGACAAGGACTGTTGTTTGCAGAATTAATTAATTTGTTCTTCAACCTTCTCTTCAGGTGTCCACAATAACTTTGTTGCAAAGAATTATTCACACCTTATTAGGTTGGGCAACAAGGCCATCACCAGCAAAGAGTGTTTGATCCACTACACTCTCATTAGTGAAGCTGTGGCTTTGGGTTGAGTCTCCAAAGGTCATATCCTGTGAAGATGGGAATTCTGCTTCTCCAGAAGGCATGTCGCATCCACCATCTGCACCATCAAAGGCATCATCATCATCGCCACCATCCTATTAAGAAAAAATTGTTACTACAATAACGAGATGTGGTACAGTTTCCAGTACACAAGAAGTTAAATTAAATAAATTCAAACTTTGAAAATTTTGAAACTATCATTTTCTCACATTCACAAAAACAGATATTCTTTTTGATCCATTTACTCTACCTCAATCAAGAGTTTTGCATGTTTGTAATTCCTAACTCGCAACATATAAATAAGTTCTGTCTTGGCATATTTTCACATGTGGACAAATGAATATTACTTTTAACACTAATGTTTTGTCAAAGCAGTTTAATAAAGACTTTTGCTTTAATCTCTGTAACATCTTATGATTGTTTAATTGTGTCTCAATCTTTTTTAATTTAAACATGTAGTCTGTTGGCTTTTTGGCTGATGGGGAACTATTCTCGACACCTAGCACAACTTGTGTGATGGCCATGAATGACCAAAATTGTCCTGGCTTTTTTAAACTTAAACTGTCTCAAACATCATTTGCAACATCCCTGCTGACGTTGGTCAATTGTGTAAACCAATCACCTGGGGTGGGGCTTAGCAGAAGAAGTAATACTCGTGGAATTTCCCACACAGGCCACAGTCATTTACTGTGTGTCCAGCCACCATAAAAACACTTGGAATAACCCACCTTACACCTTTCATTTCCTTTCTTGGCTCTGGTAAATTAATTTAGGTTGCCCTTTTCTGTATGTTTTCAAGAATTAAGACTGAGTAAGTACCCTGAACCTAGGAAAGACAATTCTTTTTCTGATATTGGGCATGTTTTTTTGGGCAAATGAATGCAACTAGCCCGAGAAACTGTTAAGTGAAGACTTAACAGAGGATCTCATAATTTGCATACGTGTAACTAATTGCCAGCCTGAAGTTTGCACCAACAATGACTGACATGAGAAGGCTTCTGCTGACAGCACTTACTTGGAGATCTGGACAGAAGTTAGCACAATCATTCGCATTCTCGTAGTTATACCAAGCTGAACCTGCCAAGGGAAAAAAAAATACAGAGCATCAAATATATGTCCATTTCGCATGTAAACCTTATTCAACATCAGGATACATATTCTCCTTAGTCTTCTCTAGACACTTCCTATGGCATAGACATGGAGAATTTTTGTTTTCATAGGTTGGTAGTCATTTCTCTTTATTCTGTTGATCTTAATGAATTCTCATGATCTTAATGAATGATTCAACTGTATCACTGTTAAGAGATATTAGATACTGGACACTCTAAGGGTTTAAAAAGGGAAAAATGAAGTTGTATTTATCAGACAGATGATGATTGATAGCTTATCCTATGAAAAATTGACTGATTTGAAGTGGTCAAGTAATGATGATTTACAAAGATTTGCAAAGGATTAACCCATAATTGCACCCAGAAATTTGCCATTTATCATTCATTTTTATGGCAAGACAGGGTTTATTAGTCTTTGAAAGGGTATTAGTATCTATAAAAGTGGGAAAATTGGAAACATAAAATTTCCCACAGCAAACAATAAATATTTTGCATTTCAGCAAAATTTCAAAAATTTTGCCATAACCAATGAAGGGCCTTAAAAGTGGCATGCTAATGCAAGCACTCTCTTTTTTTGTCTTTTATTATCAAACAACATTGTGCATTTGTTTTATTTTCTCAAGTTGAGGAAGCTTGGTGAGGAACAAAGAAATTTGCCAGCTTGGGTGACGACAGCTATGGTATACCAAATGGTTGTAGTGTACCAAAGTCCACAACAACCAAAGTAGCTATATGCATCATACACAGAAGCTTTATTTG